ATAAGATTTAAATGGGGAACTGATGGCGAGAGGCAATTTCTGCAAAGACTATCTTATTTGTCGAATGGAAATTTCTTATGTAACTTTTTTACCGCAGTGGAAGAAAATACAAATGTAACAGCTATGATTTTGACAGACTGTTTATATGAAGCAGGCAGATTTCTGATTAATAATATTACTTCTAAAAGTAAACAAACAAGTTTAATTTGACACATTTCTGAGATGAACAATCTGTGGTGGGATGAAGATTGTTCATCTCAGAAATGTGTAAAATATAATGCTTTAAATCAATTCGGAAGAACAGGTAATGTGAGTAATTTGAACAGTTGTCCTTGAGAAGACATTTTAAAAAAACTTATATATAGCAAGAAAAAGCAGTACAACGCTAATGTTTTAGGTAATGTCTTACAGAATAACATGAAAACACAACAGCTGTGGAAGAAAATGAAAAGTTATGGAAAATCTAACACAAGGGCAGATGATTATGAAGGCAGAGAAGTGGTTAAAATATTTTACAAAGTTATTGTCTGAGTCAAAATTTAATATAGATTGTAAATCGTGTGAATACTCATGAAGCTGCCATTTTTTATCAAGTGGAAGTTTTTAATCAAGTTGAAGTTTTGGATAGCAACATTACCTATGATGAAGTATTTAAAACTGTTATGTCAATGAGCAATGGAAAAGCCCCATGAAAAGCCCCATCTCTATGTAACAAAATATTAGACAGAGGTGACTTCCCGTGGCTTGGTGTGAGGCCGTGATTTGCCCATTATATAAGAATGGTGATAGAAACAATGTTGAAAATTATAGAGGAATCTCATTGCTTAATGTAGTTGGTAACATTTTTACAAAGATTCTGAAAAGGAGATTAGTAGCTTTTGTAGAAGTAGATAATATGTTTTATGAAGAACAAGCAGGTTACAGGTCAGGCTATTCCACAATGGATACTATTTTTATTCTACAGTCAGTCGTTCAGAAATATATTACGAAGCGAAAAGGAAGGATGTACTGTAGTGCCATGGGAGGCTCAAAGTGTAGGTCATATAAGAACGTTCACATCTATTCTGAATCAACGACTGAGAGAAAAAGCACATAATGCATGGTACACATCAGTTTTAGAAAATAAGAAGTTGAATATATATTCACAATGCAAATGGTGGTAAAGGAGAGCTACATTGCATCTATATATAACATACAGCTGGTACGATCTTTGTTCTTGTTCAGATGCTCAGGTCACTGTTTAGCCATGTAAACAGATGGAGTAATATACCATTGACAGAGAGAATACCTTGAATACCTCTGTGATTGAAGATGAGAAGCATTTCTTGTATGACTGTTCTTTGTATGTGGATCTGTGTAAGAAATATTTGAGTGATCTCACACTTGTTGGTGATGTTTGTATTGATGTGAACCATGCATGGAGATTGGCATTGTACATATATCATACTATGAAGAAAAGAGCATCCGTCATGCTATGGTCCGAGAGGCCATATTACTGAAATAAATTTGAATTGAATTGAATTGATCTATCTTTAAATATGTCAGTGCCATCGTTTTGTCTCAAGATGCACAACAGTAATGTTTTTTTCTAAAAGCTCCTTAAATATCCTAACTGAACTAAGGCTTAATCCTGGCTTAATCTAAGCCTTGTCTGTGAAACCGGGCCTTAAGAATTAGGATTAATTTCAACATCATCTGAATTAGAATTTCTTTGGGTTCTTTGTGGAATTATAAGGCAGTTATTAGTCGAACTAATGCACACCACAAAGAAACGCCACATGTGCAGATTGTAATTTACAAAGTACTTTTGTTAAGTATATTCTGGCCCGGTTTCACAGAAAGGGTTTAGATAAAGCCAGGATTAGTCCTTGGTTCAATTAGGACCTTTTAAACGCACCTTAGAATAAAATTACTGGTGTTAATCTTGATATAGATATATTTTAAAGGCACACTATGTAGGTTTTTTTCACCACAAGAGGGCGCAGTTTCCAACAATAACAAAGGGGTAGGTTGATGACGCAGTGATGAGCTGAATGATGGGACTTGCTGTCAAGCTGATGGATCTAATAATGTTTATGTATGAGTGCAAACATTCATGTTTTTTAACATTACAGTGGTATGAAGCAGGTCGCGATTGCTAAAGAGACAGATATCACACGCGAGTCCAACGGATATAAAGGAATAAGGACATTTAATTCTACCGAACTACCCGCAAGTGCTGGATTACTCACACAGGTCAGTTTATTAGTCGAATTAAACTTGTGAGGGACCGCAGCGCTGCTTCACTTGGTCTAACGTTACACTATCACACTAAACGGCATTTAAATGTGTGTTGAAAGTTATAATGTTATACTACGTGTTAGTTCGTTTGCTATAATAAACTAGCAGTAAGCTAGATCAACATTAGAATAACATACTGACCATATTCTAACATTTCATCATGTTGAGCTAACGTTATATAACATTGATTTGTTTTATGTACATTTGCTCACCTGTCTAAAAAAGCTGTCAAGTCGTGACTCGTGAAGCTCTGTCAAGTCCAAGTTATGTTAAGTGCATGTTTGAGCTGTTTTAACTGAAAGCAACTTACACTGATAAATCTTAAAGGTACAATATGTAAGAATTTTGTAATAAAATATCCAAAAATCACTTGCACAGTGTGATATATTTCCTGCAGTTGTGTACTTACAATATCCCAAAAGTGTCCAAAGATTTTTTATTTCAGAGAAATTCCAATTTTAAATAAGTGGCCGTCCCGGAAAAAAATGTCGCCTGTCAATGACGCAATATCCGCGCTATTCTCGGTTTCCGTTCGCACTGCCATAGCCATGACGTAACCATGGCGACAGACGTGGAACACTGCGTAGTGCGTAAACACTGGCCGTTTCTCAATACCAAGTACGCAAACTTCGGACTTGCGTCCTTGGTAGTTCGGACTTGCCAAGTTCGACTCAGTATCCGCGCTATCCTATGTTTCCGTTCATACCAGTAGCACCTCATTTCAGTACAAGAGATCCAGGGGGCGGAGTTGGATCCAGATCTAAGGGGTGGAGATGGGTAGGATTAGGGGTGGGGTTAGGGATCAGGGGGCAGAGATGGGTAAGATTAGGGGTGGGGTTAGGGATCAGGGGGCGGAGATGGGTAAGATTAGGGGTGGGGTTAGGGATCAGGGGGCGGATATGGGTAGGATTAGGGGTGGGGTTAGGGATCAGGGGCGGAGATGGGTAGGATTAGGGGTGGGGTTAGGGATCAGGGGGTGGATATGGGTAGGATTAGGGGTGGGGTTAGGGATCAGGGGCGGAGATGGGTAGGATTAGGGGTGGGGTTAGGGATCAGGGGGTGGATATGGGTAGGATTAGGGGTGGGGTTAGGGATCAGGGGCGGAGATGGGTAGGATTAGGGGTGGGGTTAGGGATCAAGGGGTGGAGATGGGTAGGATTAGGGGTGGGGTTAGGGATTAGGGGGCGGAGATGGGTAGGATTAGTGGCATGTAAGGTGGGAGGAGTTGAATCTAGATCCAACTCCTCCCCCTGGATTTCGTGTTCTGCAGTGAGGACCATCTCGTTCATACTGCCATAGCCATGACGTAACCATGGCGACAGACGTGGACAACTGCAGGAAATATATCACACTGTGCAAGTGATTTTTTTATATTTTATTGCAAAATTCTTACATTTTGTACCTTTATGATTTATCAGTGTAAGTTGCTTTCAGTTAAAACAGCTCAAACATGCATTTTAGTCTGACTAGCTTAAGCCTTATCTATGAAACAGAGCAAATTAGTGTTATTTTATGCAATATCAGTTTAACAAATGATTCGTTTTGATATTCAGCAAACAGCAAATGACTCAAAACCATACATTTTAGTTTTGGACTAGGCTTAAGCCTTGTCTGTTAAACCGGGGGAATATGTAGTCAGTAAATACAGTTTATTTGAAGTTTGATACATTAGAATTTGATACAGGGCTTTAAATTTGTTATATTAAAAACACATCATTTATGGATTTTAATATTGACAGATGACGGATGAACCATACTGATGACCTTCATTCATTCTGTGATCTTTATCAGCGAACGCATGAACTGTTGCCTGAAGGCTTCAGGAGCTATTTCAGATCTGCAGTAACATGTCATTGAGCAAATCGTATAATTTCCCGCAAATGAAGACATTTCAAGTTAGCATGAAGTGCAATGGTGAATATGAGAGTCTGAACGTCCTTATTTTAGAAGCAACAAACCCTGACTAACATTACAAGTCTCTTCTGCTCACCAATGCTGCATTTATTTAATCAAAAACAAACACTGAAAATAAAAATATTGTGAACTATTATTACATTAAAAAAAAAACAGTTAAAATTGTAACTTGATCAAAGCTGCATTACTCCAGTCTTCAGTGTCACATGATCCTTCAGAAATCACTCTAATATGATGATTTGCTGCTCAAGAAACATTTTCTGAGTATTACGTTAAAAACAGTTGTGCTGCTCAACTTTTTGTGGAAACTGTGAAAAAAATAAAAATAAAGAAATTACTACTTTTAAGAATGCATTAAACTGATGAAATGTGACAGTAAAAACACTTAGATTGTTAAAAGAAAAATCACGATTATCCACAAAAATATTAAGTGGCAAAAACTGTTTTTAGCATTGATAATTGAACCATTATTAATAATTAAGCACCAATAATAACTGATAATATCTGAGCAGCAAATGATTTCAGAAGGATCATGTGACACTGAAGACACTGGAGTAATGATGCTGAAAATTCAGCTTTGATCACGTGAATACATTACATTTTAAAATATATTCAAATAGAACAGTTTTTTAAACAGTAATAATATTTCACAATATTATACATTTTCTTTCTTTTTAATCAAATAGATGCAGCCTTGGTGAGCGAAAGAGACTTCTTTTTTAAAAAAGATAATAAAAAAAAAGGTAATTATTCTAAACGTTTGACCGGTAGATTAAATGATAACAAACAAACCAGCCTCACTAAAGATGGAGGGATGATGGTTTATTGGCTTTTACACTTGCGTGGTAAGGGTAAAGACAGCTCCATCAGTCTGGGGGAGGCGGTGGCGGCCCGGGCGGCGGGACTGACCCGGTAGGGGTCGTACCCCTCAAACAGGGCCTGGCGTGTCTTGGGTCGAGCCAGCGTCTGCAGACTCTCGCTGGCTACAGCCTTCAGGACACGATCCGGAACCGGCCCAGACACCGGCCTGGCGAGAGCGTGCTCTGCGTGAACCTGTTTAGGAGCTGAGAGTGGAAAACATGAGAGAGAGAAACAGAAAATCACTATTCAAAGCTCTCCTAACGTGCTGATATGGACTCACAGGCCAGCTGCAGTATTCGTGAGGAGGGTGGGGTGGGAACGCCAGACGCGTGGGTGCTTGAATCCACGCTGGGTGCTTGAGTCAACACCATCTTGCCTCGCTTGGGTTGAGCTAAATCACATATCCTAGGACTCAGCTTGGCAGTTTTAACCGCGTAACTCAACTGTAAAGGCACAAGAATCCAGATCTGCCATGTGTCATGCAATAAACCGTGAACACACACTCTGAAGAATGTGCTTGAGGGCTTGTGATGCAACACTTACAACTGTACGCAACTGTAACACAGAGCAACACACTTAGCAATTGAAAGAAACAAGGAGAGCATTGACAAACATTAGAAGATCTGATCACTGCCAGATACTGCAACTGGTGATCAATTTCTGGAGTTTAAAGGGTTAGTTCACCCAAGAATTAAAATGATCCCATAAGTTACTCACCCTTAAGCCATCCCTATTTTTATATGACTTTCTTCTTTCACAGTTATGCTGAAAAATATCCTGGCTAGTCCAAGCTTTATAGTAGCCGCGTTTCCACTGTCAGGCCAGGGCCGAGCCGTGCTAGTGCGTGCCAGGGCCAGTCGCGTTTCCACTGTCACTTCCGGGGCTTGATCGGGGCTTACTCGGGGCCAACGGCCAGGATTTCTGGCCCGTCGAATACCTTGGGCCAAAGCGGGCCAGCTCGGGCTAGAGGCGTGGTTACGAACAGAGGCGGGGTTTACCTGAGTCTGGAGACGACAGCGCCGGATGATTCTGTCAGCATTAAATACTTTTAAAATAATTTAACTCACTTTCATGTTTGAATGCCTTCTGTTTGTGATCCAATGTGGATTATGATCACCGTTTAAGATAGAAATATGTATAGGCCTACTACGCGATGCAAAAGACTATGCGCGTTGCATTACCATAGTAAGCATAGTAGCTAAGATCCGCATGGTAAAAAAAACATGGTGAACGCTTGAAGAAATCAGACCAATCTTAAAGGCTATCACAATCATGTTTTTATTTTATCTGTCAGTAGCATACGTCTCGTCTCTTTATACCGGACTATCATAAAATAAAGCAACTTTTTTTTCGGGAGCTTTCTGTTTATCTGACTGAAAATATCTGTAGCCTACTGGGAGTTGAGAAAGTGCTAAAGCTCATCAGGTCGTATTTTTGGTAGCATATATTTGTAGAAATTATCTTTCTTTCTAAATGTGATGTAAATATGTCCTGTAACTAGCCTACCAAATAAACAGAAACAGACGCGACTGAAGAAGTAAGCGTGTCCTCTTTCTTTTGTGAAACCTAATGGTAATTTATTTCTGTGTGACTAATGTGCAATTTTGACACATTAATTCATGATCAATATATCACTTTTTATTGTAAACCTGTGGTAAAACATCGATCCTTGGGTTTTAAATATTCAAGTAAACAACACAAATTTCAGCAAACGGTCGCTTTTATCATGTTTGTTTTGCAATGCACGCTGTTTCCAGTGATTTATTTCTGATTAGTTTTCTGATAAAACTTCCATTGGTTGGTGAAATGATGGGTTAGTGTGACGTTGTTCCAGAGAGGCGTGTTTTAGTGAAGCGCTGTGGAGCTTCTGGCCTGACAGTGGAAATGCAGGCCCGGTGCTACTGGCCCGAGGCTATTAGCCCGGCACGGCCCGTTTAAAGCCCTGGCCCGCACTGGCCCGACAGTGGAAACGCGGCTAATGGGAGTGAGTAGCCTGAGATTTTGAAGCCCCCCCAAAAAGTGCATCCATCCATCATAAAAGTAATCCACACGCCTCCAGAGGGTTAATAAAGGCATTCTGAAGCGAAGCGATGCGTTTTTGTAAGAAAAATAAAGGATTTTTTTTTAAAATATAGGATTAATACATGATATTTTTTAATATAACTCCAATTGTGTTTGGCTGAAAAAAGAAAGTCACATACACCTACAGTTGGATGGCTTGAACATTAAATTATGGGATAATTTTCATTCTTGGGTGAATTAACCCATTAATGCCTGGTTCAGATTACACGATTTTAGCCCGATTTTGGCACGATCCGTTTGACGTAGGGTGTCGTGGGGATTCGTAAACGACAACGGGCGTCTGGACGCAAGATTCGATCGTATCATCTCGTATAGTGTGTCATAGTGGGCGACAACCTACGTCGCGTCTGCGATGCTTCACGACATCACGATAAAAAGACTAGCATGTTTATTTTTTTTAACGGTCGTCCACGACGGGTTCCGTCACGTATGAGGTTGACCAATTAGGAGCACAGAAGCTTTTCCGTACACAACTTTCAAAAATGGCGAAACGAAAGAGAGACGATGGTGCTATAGGTGGAGTTATGACATGGAGGAAAGGTTCGTGGAGCTGTGGGAACAGTAACAGAAAACAATATTTTACCTCAAGTTCTCTTTGGAGGATTGACAGCCCATACTGTCCTCTTCGAGCAATCCAGGAACGTGTCCATTGTCGGGTTTTTGTTTCTTTTTTTTTTAACGTTTTTCTGAACACAGGACAGCCAACACTCACCGCTTCATCCATTGTTTGTTACTGTCGTTTCCGGAAGTCACTCGCTACTAGTTTCGCCTTCTCGATGACATCACGCGCGTCGTTAAAGACGGCACGCGATGACTGGTCAGGAAGCAACGGGTAGTCTGACATGTTTCTTGTCCACGACAAGATTTTAGGAGTCAAAATCGCGTAATCTGACACAGTGACTAACAGACAAAAAAAAAAAGTCGTGTAATCTGAACCAGGCATAAAGAGGACCTATTATGTTTTTCTTTATAGCCACATTTTGGTTCATGCATGTGAGTTTAACTAAAAACTATTAACTATTCTAAAACTGGGACAATCCCTTCAGTGTCTTCCTGTTTCAGTATGAAATATATTGTCGACACTGGAAACAATACTACATTCATCAAGCCATGTCCTGGGCTCTGTGATTTAGTAAATGGAGATGGATGGTAATCTGAGCTATGAATAGATAAATGAAAGATATCTGAGCTATGAAAGTTATGATTTGGTATGTTTAATGTACAAAAAATTACTGTATGTTGTCTTTCTAAAACAGGGGTCTCAAACTCGCGGCCCGCGGGCCGGGTGATATTTTGTGGCCCCCTACTTGACATTAAAGTTGAATGTTAGTGCGGCCCGTCGTTGCGTGTGCCGCGTTTTAAAAAAAAATATATATATTGTTTATCCCTTATGGGCTACCATAGATAGTCTCGTGACAATTTACGGTGGGTTTGTTGTCAATAGTTGTCATAGACAACCGCGAAGTACAAACATACTGCGCCTGGAAAAAATGAGCGCGTCGCTTCAATTATGAGCGCGCTTGCCGCGCGCCTACATTTGAAATAACGAACTTGAGCGCGCAAAATATGTGAGTGCGATATGTGAACGGGAGCGACGTGTTGGAGAGAGACCCTGCTCTAAAACAATGTGAGAATAATCATTTTGAGCTTGTAATATGTGTCCAACAAGTTGATAAGAAGGTTTGCTTTGATTTGTGCAGTATTTGCCTGAGACACTATGTGTAGAAAGAATTCAATAAGACGGGCAGACATGACTGCAAATATTTTTATTTCAAAAGCAATAATTGTTTTTCTAAGTATAATAAAAGGAAATGTGCCTTCCAAAAAAAACATTCAATATCATTAATGTGTTGTATAAAGAAAATAAAAAGGACATAAGCAAATATAAATATCACAAATATGTGTTATAGACAAAGAAAGTTTGTAAAATGAACTTCAACTGTCAGAAGGACAGCTCATGAAGAACCAATCATGTACAGAAAGGAATGTTCAAATTCAGAGGAACAGATCAGAAGAAACGTTAATAATAAATATTGAGAAGATTGGATCAGTTGTGCTCCTTTTTTGGAATACTTGAATACTATTTTTTGTGGAATACTTGATGCGGCCCAGCCTGACCCCGACTCTACCTCCAGCAGCCCCCAGTTAAGTTGAGTTTGAGACCCCTGTTCTAAAAGCTCAAAGTCTGAACGTTCCCACCACACGGGAAGTATACTTTTATTGATCGCCCAAGTCTCCGAGTTCAAAATGACACAGGCATGTTAGAACGTAAGGTGTAGTTAAAGGGGATCTATTATGCTCTTTTAAAAAATCTTGATTTTGTTTTTTGGGGCTTTACTTGAATAGTTTTTTGTGTGAGTGTGTGTGTGTGTGTGTGTGTGTGCCTTTGGTGGGAATTATTTAAATGAAGAATATTGCGATATATTCGTTCCCTTAATAAACCTCAAGACTACAACAGGGACTTTCTGCTTTTTTATCTTTGCAGACATTTTTCATGCTCAAACAGCAACATTACACACTAAAAAACACACAAGCACACTTTCAAAGTACTAGAAACGGTATGGTATAATACAGTATGAGTTTGGGAAAATGCTTCTATTTTGAATTACTTATAATTTAATACAAATTTAAATTAAATAATTGATAAATAATATTTAAATAATACTTTCCCCATTACATTTACAATTCACCATAGATCTCCAAATTATTAAAAATTATTTTATTGTATTATTATTATTGTAACAGCTTTCCAAATATCATTTATTCCTCAGTCTTCAATGTCACATCATCCTTATCCAACATGATCTGCTGCTCAAGAAATATTTATTATCAATGTTGAAAACAGTTGTGCTGCTTCATATTTTTGTAGAAATCGTGATACAGTTTTTTCCTAAATTCTTTGATAAATAGCACTTTTTTTAAATAGAAATGTTTTGTAACATTATAAATGTCTTTCTTGTCATTTTAATGCATCCTTGCTGAATAAAAGCATTAATTTCTTAAAAACACTTTACATTTTTTTTGTAAAAGTTTTTGTAACCAAGTTTCATTGGTTAACATTGGTTAGTTGACTTAACAATAAAAAAGCACTTATTAATCTTAGTTAGTTAATTTCAACATTTACATTACAATCAAACGTTGTACCTGTTAATATTTGAATGGACCATGAGCTAACGTGAATTAACAATGAACAGTAATATTTTTTTATGAACTAATTACGTTAACAAAGATTCATAAATACTGTAACAAATGTATTGCTCATTGTTGGTTAATATTAAGCAATGCATTTACTTGCATGAACTAATGGAACCATATTTTAAAGTGATACCAAAAATCTTAAAGTGCATGTACTGGTTCTTTAAAGAACACAGAAACCAATATAGTCCAATATAAAAGATTTTTTTGGATTATATTGTGGGTTGTGATCGCATTTAGTCTTGTGGTAAAAAAGGTTCAAGGTTTTGCAGTCTTGGAGTGGGAAAAGCCTACACACGACACCGAGTGGAACTTCCTCCAGAGAGGTGAGAAACACTCATTTGTAACCACTGGGAGTGTGTGGGTGTAGTATTGATGCTGATAAAGATTACAAACCAGTTATTGAGGGGAAAACCACTTTTTTTATACATCTTGATACTACTATGCCATTTTAAAATAACTAATATGATTTAGTTTACATTACAGGCATGACGGAATCGAATGCATATTAGATATGAAAGTCCTTCTCCTTTGAACAACTCAGAACGTCAGTGGAGAAAGGCATTTAGTTCATCATAACATCGTAATATACTGCACATCATATACATAATTCACCCCCTATATTGCTAAATCTATCCATCTATCTATCTATTGTAGCGTATCTGGGCCACATCAGGGTGAATCATGCATTCCAACACTGGGAACCGTTCTAACCGTTGACTAGTGTCAGTCAGTCATATTTATCTATAGAGCACATTTAAAAACAACAGCTGTTGGCCAAAGTGCTGTACAAAGTCTAAACAAGTATCCATAAAACATAAAACCACAAATAAACAATGCACAAAACAATGCAATACCACTACAGCCGCTTATGACCATAAGCAGCAGTGAATAAGTGGGTTTTAAGCAACAATATATCTTTATATACGATGACAGATTGTTCCAAAGCTGTGGAGCGGCCACAGAAAAGGCACGATCTCCTTTTAATTTTAGACGTGTCCTCGGGACAGTCAGCTGTAGACTACTGGTTGACCTGAGATTTTTTTAAAAAACATTATGGTGGGCTGAAAGGAGATCAGAGATGTATGGAGGACCCAGTCCATGCAATCCCTTATAAACAAACAACAGTGTTTTGAACTCAATACGATGTGTAACTGGACGCCAATGGAGAGAGAACAATACTGGCGAAATATGTTCTCTTTTCCTTGTTCCTGTCAGCAATCTAGCAGCAGCATTTTGGACCAGTTGAAGACGTGACAGTGAGACACCCAAGTATACACAAATCCGCCACAAACTCTATGGGCGCCGCCATTACTGCGGGCCTGCTAAGGGTGACGGTGTGACACTTGCCGGTGCCCTCTAATGACATTTCAATGAAAGCGGATCCTGCTCATGAAAGAAAAAGTCTGGTGAAAGGGAACATTGGGTAGATGATGTCAGGTATAGTGGCCAAAACTTACAGATAAAGCTAATTTATTGACAACACTGTATTAATGTAAAAATGCGTCAGCCAAATGTAATGTAATTAAGACGTGTATTAATTGATGACAACAATAAAACCGAACGCTGTCATTACTAGCTGTGTTGCCAATATGTTCACAAGCTTCACAAGTTGCAAATAACTCAGTGTTTCCTATACTATAATACTATAACGTTACCCCGCAATAATACTATTTAAATACGAATCCTACGTGTTCTGTGTGAATGAATGGTGCAGTTGACGCGCAGTTTCATTTAAAACACACGCGCTGAAGCATGTGTGACGCTCGAGCTGTTTATTTGCCTACATGAGGACACACACGACTGCATGAACTTCGTCGAGACGCACGTGCATGGTCTGGTATGTCTGAATGCGCGCAAGTGCGCTCCCTTAATAATTCCTAAAAAGCTGACATCAGTTCATCGCAAACTCACAAATCTCTATTATTATCAATGAAGCTGACTGCACAATGAATCTTTCATAATATACACACTTTGTTTGTTATAATTAGAGGATTTGCCAGCATACAGAATTCACACACAGAGTGAGTGCATTACCGTCCGCGCCCGCACCAGGAACTTTTGTATGACTTGTGTATACCGTATGGCCGTAAACATGGGCAGTCAATGCGCAACAAAGGTTTGTGAATTTCACAAATGGTTTTATTTGTTGTTAAAACAGTCAACCACACAACACGCTCTTCCCGGCAGGACAGCATACGTACTAAAAAAACTACATAGAAATAACATTTCGTACAGCTAACATCTGCTACAGCCGTCTACGGGACCAACGCTACTCCTTAGCAGCAAGGCCCGCAGTAATGGCGGCGCTGCTTTACTTCCGTGTTTCGCCGGATTTGTGTATAGTACATTACAGTAGTCTAATCTTGATGAAATAAAAGCATGTATCACAGACTCCATGTCTCTGGGTGATAAAAATGCCCTTTAATTTCGCAATATTCTTTAACTGATAAAGCAACTTCTGACCACACCATTGATCTGTTTATCAAAAGTCAAAGCAGAGTCAAAAATAACACCCAGATTTCGAACATGTGTATGGAGATTGCCAGATAAAGGTCCCAATTTACTGGCGACACTTAGATGAGCCAAAAATTTCGACTTCTGTCTTGGAATCATGTCTAATAATTCACCAACGCCAGAAAGTCTGGAGTAGATTGCCTTTTTGACACTTTTTATGGGTCCTCAGAACAATACCAGAACATCCCACACCTTCTCCCAGCTCTGGGTTCCAAGCTTCAAAAAGATCTTAATCGGCGCCCCTAGGAGGGTACTCTGCACATAAACTTCATCCTATAAGACATTATTAAGATATATTCAATATGTTTTTAGGCCCACGTCATAGTGGGGTATCTGTGATGTTATCGTAGTATTAAATGACTTAAAAGTGCTTGTTATTTATGCATTGAGATGTATCTTGGTATTCCTATTATTCGTATATGCCTTATTTGGTACCGTCTTGATACTCTCGGCCTCACGGAGTTAGACACACAGGAAATTACAGTAAAATGTATGATTCTATGTGCAACCGCTTTCTGGTTAGAAATTGCATCTTTTAACAAGGCCGTAAACTATGCAGATGAGCCGCTTTGACAGGACAAAGGAACATCTTTCCCGCTCACAACTCTCGAACGTGATTGGCCGTTCACCCCAAAGGAGGTGTGAACTCCATTGTCCTCAAAAGGATGGAACGCCAGTTCCTCTCTCTCTTCATCTCTTCAGCTCCTCATCTCTTCAACCTCTTCAACATCTTCTCTTCAGTCCGTTAGTTTAGTTTTGTTTTCCCGTTTCATATTCTACTTTGTTCATTTCCACAGACGAGTGAAATGAACTTAGCCTGAATTATTTTTCTTTGACTTCACCTTCAAGGGACCTTTAAATCCGCCGCGTCTCCGTACACCCGGAAGGATCACGGAGAACGCGTGACGCTCTGAAGGAACTACACCCACGCACCTTCTTTACTCAGCAACATAAGAGAACCATATGTGCAAGTATTCGTTTTATCGAGCTTTTAATGCGTTTAAGATTTGTTTACCCCATTTAGGGTGATTTGATATCTTGGTGTCTCTCTCTCAAGGTTCCTTTGTCTGTGATTTTGCCATATTGTTGACAACTTCCTACCTCTTCTATCATTCTTCTATCTCTCATTTTCTTTCATTGTTTGTTGCTTCATTGTGTTGTATATACATTTTATTCCATGTAATTGTAGTAACCGGTATACGTAGTTTCCTTTATTAAATACATTATATTCATTTGATTGAAGTCCCTTAAATGTTCGATCAAGCTACGAGCTTCACAAACTTGTCGATACTTAAATAGTATTTTTATAGAAAGGAAAGTTAATCCTCATGGCCAGAGGAATAGCTTCTCTTGAACGTCTATAACAACTTTCATGAGGTTTGATGAAGATCGGACGATCAGTTTTGCTGGACAAGGCAGATTATTCGATAATAAATTGACCCCATGAAAGGTTATCCTGACAATCGATCTATTTTAGACAATTGACATATTAATATTTAATTATAATTCGTTGTGATTGATTATTGATAGTACAATTGATCTAATTTTGCCTAGCTGTATGGAGAACTGATTATAATTCGTTGTATTCTATCTATCTATCTATCTATCTATCTATCTATCTATCTATCTATCTATCTATCTATCTATCTATCTATCTATCTATCTATCTATCTATCTATCTATCTATCTATCTATCTATCTATCTATCTATCTATCGATCTATCTATCTATCTATCTATCTATCTATCTATCTAGTCTAAAAGTTTAATAAACTATTCCATTTCAAAAAATATTTTTAGGAGCGCAGGCCTGATCTGAAATGGTAAGATATAGTGTTTTTACTCACAGGAGCCAGAAGGGGGCGATCAGGCTGCCATCCATCAACAGGCACACGAGGCGAAGCCAGTGAACACACTCTTTGAGAAGGACATGCTTTTAGAGCCGCCGCACTAACCATCCACTCCGGTGACCTTCTGTGAGGACAGACGTGTAAGCTATGTTAAGGATAGCATACTACCATAATACTATTTCTGCAGTACACTGTGCATATGCAAAAATAAAAGGTCAAGAAGCACTCAACTTGACCTTCCATTTCATGTGAAAATGTCTGTTGCTGCATTATGTTTTCTGTTTCACATTGTATTTTTCTAAACTAGTACTGCCATGAATCGTGATCATGATCTTCTAGCTTCTTTCTTTTCTTCAAATCAACTAGATGACACCCGAGAGAGCTGGATTCATATTTGCTTATTAACTAATTTCAGATGCGATCATCAGTTGAGAACGCAGCCAATAAAAGCCCTGTGATGAGCTTTGAGACTGAGTTTAGCGTTTGAATGGAACCATGAGGACAGCGAGCGGGAGAGCAGTTATTACATGAAGATGTCAGTTGTTGTACTGTATGCGTTATTAAACTCTAAACGGAAACTGAAATTATGAGATAAGCATCCTGGGATATTTTGGAAGTGATATTACTGTTTTAACTCTCATTACTCTCATCTGTTGCATATACACATGAAGACGGGGGTGTGTAGTGCATGTGAAACAGTCAATTAAATTCAATTAAAAAAAAACTTCAAGAATGAATGGAAATTATATTAATACATGCAAATATTTCTATAACTTAACATTTGTTAGTATATTGGAGAGTCTAATTGAAATGGCTTGTTACGCACATGGAGTTAACATGCATTTTTACAGCCCTGTGTGGTGACTATTTCTTTAAGAGCTGTAGCTTTACATTAGTTTTAATGGAAGTAAGATTAGTCACCTGCTCTCCTTAAAGAAACGGCTTGATTGTTTGCTCTGGGCGAGCTGCTCCAATCGAGGAGTCAGTTCTGTGGAGACAATCAATTACCTTTTTAAATGAACATCTTTACTGAAAATATTTTCAATATACACAGTACAGATTGTAAACTTTCACACTGTAAAAAAAAAAAAATCATTTTGAAGTGAGGTAAAAGAGGTGCCAGATTTGAAACCTCGCGTCCATTAAGATTATGTTAACATTTTCATAATGCTTCAAGGCGTTCGGTTAATGAAGTGATTCTCATACCAAAGGCCGTTGTGGAGATGTTCTTTGACCTGGTTGGTAGTTCATCAAGCCAGTATACTGAGCGCCTATTTTGATATTTAAAGAATACAAAAGAATTAATTATTGCAGAAAAACACAAAGATAAATGGGTGAATTGAACACATTTAGTATCATATACTCTTAAAAATCAAGGCATTTGCAGTGATGCTTCCATGAAGAACCTTTTCAATGCACAAAAGTTTCTTTATAGTGGAAAACGGTTCTTTAGATTACTAAAATGTTCTTCACACTAGGAAAAGGTAGTTATTTTATGAATGGTTCACTGAAAGGTTGAGGAACCAAAAATGGTTCTTCTATGGCATCACTATGAAACCTTTATTTTGGAACCTTTATTTTTACAGATACATTTCCAAAACTATTGTTGGGGTCAATGTCACTGCAGTGATATTACAGGAATGCGGCAGAGACAAGTTAATGTGAAAAAGCATGAATAATTCACAGAAGAAGCATAAGCATGTGCTGCTGTTTGAATGAGTCAAAGAGCCCCCCTGTGGCCAAACACGCCAGTTCATTTAAAAACTAGGTCAAGCACAGAGGTTTTGACCATGTGAGAGAATGGCAGTCTCTATTTTCCTGGGACACAGCAGTTCAGTTGTGTCCTCTGTAGAGGATGTTGCCACATATAAGTCCTTGTATGTCTTGTATATCTATATTTTCGAATGACATTCAAAGCAGAGTAAGATGTTCTTTACATATTCTGAATTATTACTCATTATTTATCTATATATAAATATATGGTAACTATTAACTATAACTTTTGTTTCAGTAAACTCCTAATTACTGCTTATTAATAGTATAAGGTAGTAGTTACAGTTTAGGTATTGGGTGGATTAAGGGATGTAGAATATGGTCATAAAGAATAAGGCATTGCTTTAAGTACTAATAAACAGCAAATATGCATGCTAATTGCAACTTTAATAATGAGAATTGGACCCTAAACTAAAGTGTTAGCAAATTTGTTTTTTCTCCGGCCCGTCTTTGACTAGGTTTTCTTTGATTAAACCATCTTGAAATCCAACTCTTCATCTTGTTGACTTGACCACACATCTACTTCTCTCCTGAAATTCTGCCACTCTGTCATCTTTGCACCTGTTTCTTACTTCATTGATACATTTCTTACCTTTGCTTCATTTCCTCTGCCACTCAAAACTACCGCAGTTTCCCCAGTTCTCAAGAAACTCAACCTCAACCTCTCAGTTCTATCTAATTATCGTCCTATTTCAAATCTACCATTAATGCCAAATTACTGGAAAGAACGGTTGCTTCCCAGCTTCAGTCTTTTCTAGTTTAAAATAATCTCTTAGATCCCTTTCAATCTGGTTTGTGCCCATGTAATAGTACTGAAACTGACCTTGTTAAGGTGTAAATGATCGACTACTTTATGATGAATTTCTGGTGATCGACGACTGATAATTCTTTATTAATTACTAATGGGTTCCCTGTATTTTCACTTTAGAATACTGTTTCAGGTTCTAAATAATTCCTGAAGAATGATCTAATAATTCTTTATTAATTACTAATAAGTTCCCTATATTTTCAGTTCCCCTCAGTTGTTGCCTAAAATAGGCTACATGAATTTACTCAATGGCATATGCTGAGGAAACAGACACACAGTAGGCTATATAAAATATAAAACTAATCTGAGGTCAGTTTTGTATGACTGTTCATACTTAGCTATTTTCCTTGAAACTTAATTAGTAGATAACTAGTAGTAGTTCTTCAGGAGGTATGACATAATTCATTAGTAATTGATTAACTAACTGTTACTTAAAACAATCATAAAATTATATTGATTAGTTAACACATCTTCCTTAGTAGTTAACAGCAGTGAAGAAGTAGTTAATGAAGAATTAGCCTACCTACTAGTTCTTAAATAATTCCTTATTAGTTATGCAGTGTAAGATACAGTAGGCCTATTCTAAAGTGTTACCCAGTTTTTTTGTCTATATTGAGCGATAAGAAAATTGTAAACATTTATTTGTCAAGTAAATTATGTAATTTGAAACCTTGGCACCGGGATGTTGTATATACACACGGCCGTATATAGGACAAACCCCGCTGTTGCTATATTAGGAATGTGCTGGTGTACCTGTCTGGGAATCTGAGTAGGTTTGCTTTGGGCTGCGCGAGGCGGTCTGTGCGCGTGGCCATGGTGAAGCGCGTTCCTGCTCACTAAACACAACAGCTTACAATAGCCGAACTCTGGAACAGAAACTTGTACTTAACCTGTATAAACATATGAAACCATTCCAAATATATCTGCATATACATGTAGGCTAATTGAAGAAAAATAAAGTGAATGTTGGTATACATTCGAATGTAAAAAAACCAAAGCGAAAGAAGCCTAACCTATAACTTCAGACAATACCGTTAAATACCGTTTAAAGGTTGTTTTATTAGATGAACAGAAGCTTCCACAACTCACTCACCGATCCAAGCGTCAGTGCGCGTTACGTGTCACCATAGCGACCGGTGACGTGAGGACGCTCTATATACCCGGATCTTCATTATATGCGTTGGGGAAAAAAATCAAATGGAGAGGTTTAAAGTCATTTTCTGTAGGAGTCAGATGTTATTACAAGGCCATTAGGAAGGACATTTTCAAATCCCGTATCACGTTTTAAAGACACATAAGAATAGATTCTCTCTCAATTAGGCTACTCACTCGTTGTTTTCATGTTTTATGGGGACTTTCTATAGACATAATTTTATACGGTACAAACTGTATATTCTATCACCTTACTCTAACCCTGCCCCTAAACCTACCCATCACAGAGAACTTTCTGCATTTTTACATTTTCAAAACACTTCACTTCTATGATTTATAAGCTGTTTTACATGATGGGACCAAAAATGTTTTCCCATTTAGTAAAAAATGTATTGGTACCTTTGTGGGAGACAACAATAATGAGTCCCCATGAGTTAAAAAACACACACACACACACACACACACACACACACACACACACACACACACACACACACACACACACACACACACACACACACACACACACACACACACACACACACACACACACACACACACACACACACACACACACACACACACACACACACACACACACACGATTATATATTACAGTTTCAATTTGGACAAAGTTGTGAGGTGAAACCAACATAACCACAGCTAGAGAAAACAGACATTTATGCAATTTATGCAAGATAATCAATTCAATGATAATAAAAGCAATTCTCTTGACTTGCATGAAATAAACAGTTTGTAAACAGTTTGAGGTGTAGCTAATTCTGCTCAGATAAATAACAGTGTCAGTGTGTGAGAGCTCCAGCACACATAATGATCAGCAAAGTCAAATGTTAGACTGTAACTGAGCCCAGGAGAGGGGGAACCACGAGCATAATGCTGGAGATTACAAAAACACAAATGCTTCAGTAAAGAAGGCCATCAGCAGCTGTTGGCACGGACTCATCAGTGTGTGTCCTCTTTCATTCAGATCTCACTGCACCTCCTGCCAACTCAACTCAACCTTTATATCATATTGGGATTGGTCAAACGCACTCTACAATGTTTGTACAGTGACCTCTAAAGTGGTAAAAGATCCATGGTCTCCTCCCTTGTGAAAAAGCATACTTTGAAAAAGTGTGGAATGTAATGTTTTAGGACACTTAATTGCAAGTTATTTACAATTAAGTATAAAATTATTATTATTTAATTACATAATGCATTTAGATGAACACAAGAATGCTTTTTGGGCCATTTAAGTATGCAATCTCACAATTACTTCTATTGTGTTTGAAATATGTTTAAGGTGCTCTGCCGTATGGACTGACAAGCGTTTATGATAAAGTAAAATATAGGTAAATTCTGGATAATTGGGACAAATTTATCTGAATTCACCTGTATTTTACTTATAGGCCAATTCAAGTAATTTGGGACACTTTGTGCCACTGAGACGTCTGGGAAAAAATGTCCCAATTATGCTGAATTTACCATACTTTAATGCAATTTCTACTGAAACTTGTTTTTAATATTTGTAATGAAGTTGCAATTTAGTACATTTAAAAGGAATTTAAAAAAAAACATTAAATAACATGTTAAAAATATAATCATCAAAACAAGTATATATATTTAAAGCATGACAACACATTATTAAAACAATGATTTATGGTGTACTTTAAAATAAAACTTTTATTGTGACTGTTGTGACTGTGTACATTTAAAAGTGTGATAATTGCTGCCTTGAATTTTTAAATACAATCAACTTCGATGTTTAAGTCAAATCAACTTAAATGACATTAAACTGACTTAAAAAATGAGTTGAGTCTTGTATAACTTATAAAACTTGTTTTGATGAGAAAGCAATGTAAAAACATGTTGTCATAACTTATTAATCATGTTTGTTTTAGTGTACACACACTTAAGTGACTTTTTATTTCATTAATATATTATCTGCAAGAGTTTTTTTTAAATGATACACTTAAGATTTGAAGTACACTATAAGTACACATTCAATACATTTAAGTGCACTTATTTTCACAAGGTAAATATTTCATATAGTAAAATAAACTCATTGCAATATTTCACGTCTACTAAGCATTAGTGCAATAAGCTGGATAATATTAAGTATCCATTTACTAAGTTGGATAATGTACATTGTAAATCAATCCTAACAGGACACAAGAACCCTAATTCCTAAAATAAAGAGGGTTCTTTGCTGAATCATACCAGTCATTATATAAATATCATAATGAGGACATCAATATAATCTGCTAAACCATAAAGCTGTTAAACCCATGTGAAGCTTAAAGATCTTTGAAGAATAAAGGTGAATGTTATGATACGGCTCTTAATAAAGGGCTGTACTGTCACTGCAGGGCAAAACTCTGAACATCAGTGTGTTTCAACATGCTGAAGTATGTCACATGAGCACAAATCACTGTACATGTAGACACATGCCAAAAATTCACCACCATATTTGTCTTGCCCGATAATTCATTAACAGGGTGAAATATTACATTTTTCTAGAGTAAAATCCACAAAGGCTTTAAAGGGATAGTTCACCCAAAAAAGTTCACCCATTTACTCATCCTCATGTTGTTCCAAACCTGTATGAGTTTCTTTCTTCTGCTGAACACAACAGAAGATATTTGGAAGAATATGAGCAATACAGTTGATGGACACTATTGACTCCCATAAACTGTTTGGTAACCGACATTCTTCAAAATATATACACTCACCTAAAGGATTATTAGGAACACCATACTAATACTGTGTTTGACCCCCTTTCGCCTTCAGAACTGCCTTAATTCTACGTGGCATTGATTCAGCATTCTTTTGAAATGTTGGCCCATATTGATAGGATAGCATCTTGCAGTTGATGGAGATTTGTGGGATGCACATCCAGGGCACGAAGCTCCCGTTCCACCACATCCCAAAGATGCTCTATTGGGTTGAGATCTGGTGACTGTGGGGGCCATTTTAGTACAGTGAACTCATTGTCATGTTCAAGAAACCAATTTGAAATGATTCGAGCTTTGTGACATGGTGCATTATCCTGCTGGAAGTAGCCATCAGAGGATGGGTACATGGTGGCCATAAAGGGATGGACATGGTCAGAAACAATGCTCAGGTAGGCCGTGGCATTTAAACGATGCCCAATTGGCACTAAGGGGCCTAAAGTGTGCCAAGAAAACATCCCCCACACCATTACACCACCACCACCAGCCTGCACAGTGGTAACAAGGCATGATGGATCCATGTTCTCATTCTGTTTACGCCAAATTCTGACTCTACCATCTGAATGTCTCAACAGAAATCGAGACTCATCAGACCAGGCAACATTTTTCCAGTCTTCAACTGTCCAATTTTGGTGAGCTCTTGCAAATTGTAGCCTCTTTTTCCTATTTGTAGTGGAGATGAGTGGTACCCGGTGGGGTCTTCTGCTGTTGTAGCCCATCCGCCTCAAGGTTGTGCGTGTTTTTCGCCCACAGGACTGCCGCATACTGGATGTTTTTCCCTTTTCACACCATTCTTTGTAAACCCTAGAAATGGTTGTGCGTGAAAATCCCAGTAACTGAGCAGATTGTGAAATACTCAGACCGGCCCGTCTGGCACCAACAACCATGCCTCGCTCAAAATTGCTTAAATCACCTTTCTTTCCCATTCTGACATTCAGTTTGGAGTTCAGGAGTTTGTCTTGACCAGGACCACACCCCTAAATGCATTGAAGCAACTGCCATGTGATTGGTTGATTAGATAATTGCATTAATGAGAAATTGAACAGGTGTTCCTAATAATCCTTTAGGTGAGTGTATAATCCCTTAAGGAAAAAAAACAGCAAAATGTGATCTATTATTTATGGTCAGGCATAATACATACTTCACATGTAAACCTCATCCTTTATCAAATTCAAGTACTTGATCTTTAAGCGTACAGAAAATGAAGATGTGTACCTGTACAAAAGTCACAATCATGATGCAATCTTGAGAGTGATCGTTTAAAAGCATGATTTGAGGTGTCGTCCTCTTTATAGCACAAACATCGCAAGACAAGTTTAATAGTTTGGGTTTAGAGCAATAATAATAATGATGATGCTTAACAAACACCAGTAATAATCTATTACAGCACTAACACTGACATAAAACAGTTTTCAATAATTCAGTTTTTCTCTAATGCTCACCAAGGCTGTATATATTTGGTCAAAAATAGTTATATTATGAAATATTATTTTAATTTAAAATAGCTGTTTTTTTTGTGAATATGTAGAAAAGTGTAATTTATTTCTGTGATCAAAGCTGTATTTTCAGCATCATTACTCCAGTCTTCAGTGTCACATGATCCTTCACAAATCACTCTAATATGATGATCTGCTGCTCAAGAAACATTTCTGATTATTATAAATGTTGAAATCAGTTGTGCTGCTTCATATTCTTTATCAAACCCATGATACATTTACATTCAAATGTTTGGAGTAAGATTAAAAAAATAATATCTAAACTGATCACAAGCGCCAGCATAATACATTTATCATGTTACAAAAATATTTCTACTTCAATTAAATGCTGTTCTTTTGAACTTTCTGTTCATCAAAGAGTCCTGCATTTTTTTCATCATGATTACCTTCATTTATATGGTATAATTCTGCAGAAGGTCTAAATTGTCCACACCCTTCGGTTGCCCTTTTCTGGTCTTGTTGGATCAGGCCGAAGGGATCAGCTGTTGCCGTGGTGATCAAGGTGGTTTCCTGGTGCTTGTCCAGGAATTTTCTTTGACCCGACACTGATGAAATGTTCCTGCTTCAGCGAACAGCACACACACAGACACAGACACAGACACAGACACAGACACAGACACAGACACAGACACAGACACAGACACAGACACAGACACACACACACACACACACACACACACACACACACACACACACACACACACACACACACACACACACACACACAGAAACACACAGACACACACACACACACACACACACACACACACACACACACACACAGAAACACACAGACACACAGAGACACACAGACACACAGAGACAGAGACAGAGACACACACACACACACACACACACACACACACACACACACACACACACACACACACACACACACACACACACACACACACACACACACACACACACACACACACACACACACACACACACACACACACACACACACAGAGACACACACACACACAGACAGACACAGACACACACACACACACAGACACACACACACACACATACAGAGAGACACACACACAGAGACACACACACACACACACACACACACACACACACACACACACACACACACACACACACACACACACACACACACACACAGAGACACACACAGAGACACACACAGAGACACACACACACACACGAATGAACAGTTACAGCCCAAGGCATATTAATCAGAAAACAAATATAGAAAACTACTATGTCATCATGCCTTTTATTTTTCACTATTTGAATCACTTTTTGCCTTCACTAGTTTATAATTGTTGTATAATGATAATTCATAATAATAATAATAAATAACAAAATTCTGTTTAAAATACTTTAGATAGAGTGTAGCATGTCAACTACCAAATGTAAACAGTTATTATAATAAACATCTTGTCAAGCGGACAGTAACGCAGCGAGACATTCTCAGCATACCGACAAAAACACAATGCAAGGATGCGGGACAGTTCTCCTCGTGTGACTCACTCAGGACAGTGTTGACACTGGATTCCTCAGGACAGCATGTCAGAATGTGTCTATGCTCATGAGACGCTCAGGGCAAAGACGCTAGGAGAACTGAGAAGAAAAAGTCAATGCCAGCGAGTCTATCTGGAAGTATATCACACCTGCATGATGCCATCTTTTCAATATCTCGTTCGGAAGCCCGTTTCTGCCACATTATGATTTGGTAAATCATAATTATGACATAAAATGTCATAACTGTGACAAGTCATTGACCTCATAATTAGGACATAATTTTTATTAGTACATCATAATTTTGCATTTGTCATGATTTTTTTTTATCTCATTTATGATTGTTGAATTGAATTTTGACCATTAATTTAAACTTTTGCAGTAATGTCATTATTATTACTGTCTTAGTTTTGATTTGTCACGATTATGACTCTCATTTTTCACTTTTCTCATAATTAAGAAAAAAGCTAATAATAGCATCATTTTGACAAAATGTTAGATTCATGACAAAAAATAAAAAGACTGATACTAAGTTATAATTATGCAAACTCACTGACAAAAATTGACTTCAATTGATCTCATAGTTACATTTTTTATGACTGTCAATTGATTTTTAGCTCAATTATGATTTAATATCTCACAATTTCAACTTGTGCCATAATTATTACTGTCTTAGTTTTGTGCCATATTAGTACTGTCATAATCATGACTGTTTATCTCATCTTTGACTTGTCTAAATTTCAACTTATCTTATAAAGAAAAAAATGCTTTGGTATTTTATAATTATAACAAAAAGTTATATTTATGACAAAAAGTCAAAACTATGAGATACTAAATCGTTATTATGTAGTCACTGACAAAAATGCCTTCATCTTATAATTTAAACTTTTATTACTGTCAATTTTGAAATACATCAAGATATGTGGTTTAAACACCACATATCACGTACAGTATATACATCTGCATATGGCTTAGTGTTTTGAAGCAAACCATCGTTTGTTGGTCTAGAGATGCTGAAGACAAAGCCGCAAGAAGACTTAAGAGCAAACTAATAGATGGCCTTTAAAACAGTCACAGAGCTCTTATCATCTGCAGACAGTGCCATATGAGAAACATTTCAGATGTTATTTCAGTCTTGACAGCATAAATCAGCTGTGTCGAGCCTGAGTCTCATAACACACACATACCCAGAAGCGTAAGAGCTCAGAGTCAACAACAGAGTGTGTATAAGCTCGGTCACATGGAGGAGGTCTGACCTATTTTTTACAGTGTTGCATGAACGCTTTATAAGGCAGGACCCTTTCGCTGCCATCTTCAGCCCAGTAATGCCACATCCAGGCTGGATACAACCGTACAGCTGTACCATGGGATAATAATTCAACACACTTTATTAATTTTTTTAGAAAAAAAAAAAACGATTTATTCCAAAGAAAAGCTGGAAAACAGCAAATAGAAAAAAAACCATAAACTCACTAAAATTAGTCATCATAACAAAACAATAGCTACCGTGTGGATCTCTATAGCAAGTCAAAAATGCAGTAGTGTGTGTCACGTGCAAGAAAACCAATCCCAAACCACGTTAATATGAAAGCTGTTTATCATAACGTACACTATAGAGTGGGAGATTGTGTTTCTTCAGAGGGAAATGCTAGATTTCACCTGCAAAATATACAGTTGTGGTTCACGATTCTGTGGGATGGTGGTCAAACTGACCTTATTTCAAACATCACGTTAACCTAAAGGAACTCAAGAGTAGATAACAGTCATGTAAGAAGCTTTAAGTATTGCTAAAAAGTCCTCGGAAACGACCCGACGGCACTGAGCAGTATCATGATGGGTCGCATTGTGACAGCAGCCTTAAGAGAAGCGAAATGCCACCGTAATAAAGACTGCTTCCTGTCTTACTACAAGACCGGAGCACTGAAGCCAATACAAGCGCAGCATTAGATGGTCTGAAGACATCACTTCCTGTTTTCATCATCCTCTGCCGCCTGGGATTCTGGGAGCAGAACAAATCTCTGCGCAGACCGCCATCCGGACGAGTGAAAGTCACATTCGGAACATTCCAGTGTCGTATCCTCACTTCCCTTGCCATTAAACCATGATTCATCGCTTCTAGTTACTGACAAAAGGAAGTTAAGGACCGCTTTCCTGTTCCTGTTCCTAAAGAGAAGCCCTGATTTTCACCTACAGTCACTCAAAATTAAATTCGGTCATTATTCACGTCATTATTCTAAATGTACAATACAATGAAAGTGGATTGTCACCATCGCGGTTAAGCTCTAAAAAAAAGACAAAAAGCACCATACATGTAGTCCATATGACTTTTGAAGCTAAAATTTAAGTTTCAACTTATTATGTCATAATTTTTATATGGCATATTTTTTTCACATGTTAATTATGGCTCAACTGCAACCTTTTGTCATACTTGATTATGATTTTGTGTCAATTTCAAATTTGAAGTTATTTGTATCTTTCCCTCTGCCCTAGTTTTATTAATGCACATACAAATGAGAATCGAGAGCTGCAACATGGTGAAAAATCGACATAAATAAAATTGTGGTGTTAATAACTATCACATAAAAAGTCAAAATTTACATGAGATAAAAAGTCTAAATTATGACAAGGCATAATTGCCAAAAGAAATGACTTGTCAGAATTGACTTATCTTATAATTTAGACACTGTCATTCTTTCAACTTTTTATCTTATATTTAGACACTGTCATTCTTTCAACTTTTTATCTCATAATTATGACCATGTATGTCAATTTCGACTTTTTATCAAAAGTGCAAATTTTAAGTTATTAGTATCTTTCCCTCTGCCTTAGTTTGAAAATGAGGAAACACAAATGAGAATTAAGAGCTGCGACATAATGAAACATTAATGAATAACAACTAAAATTGTGCTGTTTTCCTCACACAAAGCTGCTGTATGGCTTCAAAAGACTTTGAATATTGTGCACAAGTCATATGGACTATATTTATGATTTTGCCCTTTTTAGTGCTTAACAGCCACGGTCATCATTCGATTTCATTGCATGGAAAAAGAGCAGCTTAAAAAGCATCAAAATATCTCCTTTGCCATACAGGTTTGGAACGACATGATAAGTAAATGATGACAGAATCGTCATTTTGAGTGAATTATTTCACTTTTGAAAACGAGAAACTCTAAAGAGGATGAGATTTGTAGTGTACATCATTGCTTTTTTTTTAGTATTGTAAATCTTTATAAATACTTTGGTCAGTTTACATCTTATCCTCAAATCTTAAATCTATCATTTCAAGAGTTTGGAGCAGAAAAAGAATATTGCAGTTCCCACAGTGATGCAAAGAAGCATTAAAGTCCAGCGAGAATATTCTTCATATGTGTGTGTCGCACATCAATTCAGTGTCATTACAGGCCCACTGTGTTTCCGTTCGCATCACGCTCCGGAAAAATCAAATGCACACTCCGAACACAAATCAAAGATCTGCTCGAGCCTTCGATGTGTGATTGAAAATGAAGTTAAGCCCTAAGTGTGTGTGTGTGTGTGTGTGTGTGGCCTCAGAGCGTCTGCACCAGCACCGGGAAGAGCAGAGACAGGTGTTCGGCTCCGCGGATGGGCAGTTTGTTTGTGGTGTAGTAATGAATGACTTCAGGGATGGAGTCGAACGGAGGACTGTTCTCTCCCAGGATGAACTTGCCATCACGAGACTGCGAGAACTTCATATGCATGAACCCGTGACAGCTCCTGCAGAGAGACAAAGCCATTGAGTTTGCATGTTACTTTTCATGGCATGCAATGAATTGGAAGAAATGTGTCAGCTGGTAGAGACTGCGCTATACTGTTTGCACAATGCTAGCTGTAGCAAGCCTGCTAAACGTCATGTACAAGTGAAATAGTGTTGTTGTTGTTGTGAGGGTGACCTAAAACTATCGAAAATCATTTTAATTCGATGAAATAAAGCTGAAATAAAATCCAATGTAAATATTAGAAGTTTGCCTGCCTTGGCAACTAAGGCCTCGTTTACACTGTCAGTGAAATGTGACCCAAATCCGATTTTTTACTCGTATGCGACACAGATCGGATGTGTTCTATGACGAAACATTGTGTCGTCGTAGGAGAGGAATGTGGACACACGCTGACACAACATATCAAAGGTTGGCTTACTCATCCTAAAATTTCGGACCCACTGCTCCTCGTTAAAGCCCGCCACGATCTCATGAAAGTGGGTTTATTGCACGATTTTTTTTTTCACGTGGCATTTATGCCAAAAATAGTTTTTGCGTGCATGATACGCACTTTATGGCGTTTAATATTAACAGTGCGTATCATATGCAAGCAAAAACTATTTTTGGCGTATAAATGGCATGAGAAATAAAATTTGTGCTATAGATACTCACTTTTATGAGATCGTGTTGTATGTTCCCACCTGTCCTGAGATCTCGCTGCGCGTTCGTCCATCTGAGCAAGAAGACCCCTTTAAACATGCGCGATGTTTCAGTCAAGTGTAAACACATGACTCGGATATGGGTCACAATTTAAAGAACGTGTAAACGGACGGATATAGGCAACAAATCAGAATTGGGCATCAAGAGCTGCAGTGTAAACGAGGCCTCAGTGAAATAAAATTATTCAAAATACAACTTGAATAAAATTTAAGTTGCATAGAAATACAAAACAAAAATGAAAAAAAAAAGCACATGACTAAAACTTAAGATGAAAATATAAAAATAAACGCCAATTCAAAATATTAATAAATACTATAAAAGTATACAAATAATACTAAAATAAATAAAATAAAACTGTTACAGTTTACAGTTTCTGAGCGATGTTGCAACTTGGGGAAAAAAGGGAAAATAATGAAGCAAATATCATTTGTAAAGTATTAAATTCACCGGATCATTCATAAAAAGGTCATTACAACATGAATACATTTTTTGTTTACACTTTATTTTAAGGTGACAGTTACATTGTACTTACTCAAATAACTACTATTAGCTAATTAACAACATGTACTTACTATAGAGTTAGGGTTAGGTACTTGTAATTATGCATAATTTACTGTACTATAGTAAGGACATGTGGTAACGAGTAACTGTCACCTTAAAATAAAGTATTTTTTCAGCAAAAAACAACATGGTGATCTATATAATTTAAAAAACTTGATAAAAGATGCACACCGTGATGTAAGATTTTGGTAATTCTGCTCACACCTATACCCACACCCATGCTTTTTAGTGGGCACTACATTATTAATAGCATGCTAAACACATTCAGACCCACACAAAACCCCTCAAACCTGAATAAATTACACATTAAACCAGAATAACTAGATGTAACTAACTTCCTTCCTGGGGATTGCTATGTGGTTGCTAAGGTGTTCAGGCTGGTTGCTAGGTGGTTGCTTACTGGCCTAAGTCCAAACAAAACCAGCCTCAGATATTCTGGTTTCTATTTCACTCTGGGCCTTCCTTCAATGTACATCTTGAATTACATTATCAAATGATAAATCTGTAAACCGTCATAAAATCTTAATATCAAATGTTTCATTTAGATCGTTTATGTGGATTTTCATAAACCTGTAAATATTAATGGTGGTCATGTGTTTTGTGTACACAGAAAGACTCTGGCCTTAATAACCACATAAACATTTGGCAAAGACGCAGAAGCAGAAACATGAACCTAGCAGGAACAATTTGTGCTATTTATAGAGACAAATGACTCCAACTGTTTCATGAAACAAAAGCGAATATGGGACAAGAACTTCAGTTATTATACCTCTGAAAACAATCATAACAGACAGTACAAAACAGTGGACAATTATACCACACTAAAATAGAGAAACAGCAGTCATTTTCTACTCGGAATGACTCACAACACAGACTTTGATTTGCAGAAGAAAAGGAAATGAAAATCAGAAGAACAGCACAGTGTCCTTCAGAAGAAATGACTAAACTTTAACTGAAATGATGTCACTGCATCAGTTTATTGGGTTCTAACAGTGAGTTTACCTGAGAGAGAGCGAATAGTCGTTTCGGATGGTCTGGCTTTTCCTCACCAGATAACTGCACTCCTTACAGAGCGTGAGCAGAGATTCGGCTTCTGAGCGCGTCAATGCACCGTGGTACCACCTAAAACACACACACCACACACACACACACACACAGATGGGTCACTACTAGGGTTTTCACGATACAATATACTCAGCAGAAGATACATGTAAAATGTCACGATACTCATAACTTCTGTTATTTGAAAATACAAAGAGATTGAATACAATTCATTTGACCAAATTAGAATACACACATAATTAAGCTAAATAATTAAGATAACGGACGGACGGATGGACGGATGGATGGATGGATAGATAGAACAACATACAGACAGACAGATAGAACGACAGACAGTGACAGACAGATAGATAGATAGACAGACAGAACGATAAACAGACAGACAGACAGATAGATAGGGACGGACGGACGGACGGATGGACGGATAGATAGAACAACATACAGACAGACAGATAGAACGACATACAGACAGACAGATAGAACGACAGACAGTGACAGACAGATAGATAGATAGACAGAACGATAAACAGACAGACAGATAAATAGAATAACAGACAGACAGACAGACAGACAGATAGAGACAGATAGACAGACAGACAGACAGACAGACAGACAGATAGATAGAGACAGATAGATAGATAGATAGATAGATAGATAGATAGATAGATAGATAGATAGATAGACAGACAGATAGACAGACAGACAGACAGACAGATAGAACATTTTTTGAACAGATAATCGCTATAAAATAGAACTATATAAATTACTCCTGGTGTGGGAAATTCACACACATCTAAAGTGCAGTGTTATGGAACCATTTCCTTTACACATCCAATATCCAACAAATTTTTTTTTTATATATTTAGCAAAACTAAACTTCTGTATGAAAACAGGTAATGGCAATAAAATAATATATAAATAACAAATAAAATAAATATAGCCTTGCAGTATAAAGATATTTCACACACACACACACACACACACACACACACACGCCTATTGCAATCACTTGTACATCAATGGAAAGTTATATTTCTCAAACAGTTCTTCTCTCATCTGACACATGTCCAGCCAAGCTAAACAGGACAAGTGGAGCATGTGCAGGGAAACGGTTGGGAAATAATCAAAACAAGTTTAAATGGGTACATTTTCAATAAATATTTTTGAGTCTTCATTTTCTTTCTGACATAGCCTAGCCTACTTCAGTTCTTGTTAAAACACACCAGACATGCAAATTCTGTGCATTTTGGGCACTTTTTGTGTGAAATCATATTTATTTTGTCCATCAAAAGTGTGCTTTCACTTTAATTGAGCGCGAGCAGAATAGACTCGGCGCCGAAACCCCCGCTTCACTGTTGCTCACGCGGCGCTCCTGCTCGACGCTCCCGGTGTGAATGCACTCATTGATTAACAAGCACGCCGAACAAAAAAAAAAACGCACTGCTTCTCGCTTGCTGTGTGAAACAGCCGTAATTCATGAGGTTTCCTACATGTGCGCGTTCCGTGTGCACGTGTGATGCTGATGTTGCGCGATTTTAATCATGCGGCGCCCGAGTTGCCGATCACGTGAAAATCCGCCGATTCCGTCTCAGATAGATAGATAGATAGATAGATAGATAGATAGATAGATAGATAGATAGATAGATAGATAGATAGATAGATAGATAGATAGATAGATCTCAGATTTGCAGATGTGAATACCTACACCTGTTTCTCCAGGGCCAGTGTGGGGTCCACCCTCTCACCCAGGATGCAGTGGGAGTGGCTGGAGTGGCTGGTCTTGCTCAGGCTGGTGGCTCTGCTGGACGGGGGACTGATTCTGGACACTCCTGCTTTCCTCAGGGGCTCGTCACAGGGCAGAGTACACTGATCCCAGTCTCCCGCCTCAAACGTCACTACAAAACAAACATTACAAACACACTACAGGTTAGCTTTAGGGTCTGTACCTTTTTTATATATATTTTTGAAAGAAACCTCTTTCTGATGATCAAAACCATTAATATTATTGCAATTTAAAATAGTGTTTTCTATTTTAATAAATTATAAAATGTAATTTATTCCTGTGATGCAAAGCTGTATTTTCAGCACCATTACTGAGTTGTAATCATAAATATTAATGCATTAAAAAATTATACAGTAAACATCTTGAAATTACATCTTTTTATAACAATAAAGCATAACTTCCCTACTTTTTTGCATGTACAAAATTCACGTTTATTATATTATATAGAGTATCAGATATAAGCATAAGTCGTGTCCACAGTACAAACAATGCAAGACGAGTTACAGATGCATTAGCGTTAATACTTGTCGTGAGAGTCAAATCACTAACTGAGTATGGAATAAGCATTAAAGGGTTAGTTCACCCAAAAATGAAAATGATGTCATTAATGACTCTCCCTCATGTCGTTCCAAGCCCGTAAGACCTCCGTTCATCTTCAGAACACAGTTTAAGATATTTTAGATTTAGTCCGAGAGCTTTCTGTCCCTCCATTGAAAATGTATGTACGGTATACTGTCCTTGTCCAGAAAGGAAATAAAGACGTCATCAAAGTAGTCCATGTGACATCAGTGGGTTAGTTAGAATGTGTTGAAGCATCGAAAATACATTTTGGTCCAAAAATAACAAAAACTACGACTTTATTCAGCATTGTATTGTCTTCCGGTTCTGTTGTGGATCCGCGTTCAGTGACGCTGCTGACGTGTGTCTGGTGTGTGTGTGTGTGTGTGTGTGTGTATTCTGGTTCTGTTGTGGATCCGCGTTCAGTGCCGCTGCTGACGTAAGACGCTGCTGACGTGTGTCTGTCTGGTGTGTGTGTGTGTGTGTGTATTCTGGTTCTGTTGTGGATCCGCGTTCAGTGCCGCCGCTGACGTAAGACGCTGCTGACGTGTGTCTGTCTGGTGTGTGTGTGTGTGTGTGTATTCTGGTTCTGTTGTGGATCCGCGTTCAGTGCCCCCGCTGACGTAAGACGCTGCTGACGTGTGTCTGGTGCGTCCGTGTGTTCGGGTTCAAATAAATATGGCTGGGCAAAAAAATGCAAGTCTTCCTCTGTGTGGAAATCCTTAGACATGTTTGCGAAGATTGTTTTGTTTCCAGCGTGCGTCTCCCTCAGACTGTAAACGAAGCTCGGGCGCACCAGACACACGTCAGCAGCGTCTTATGTCACACACACACACCAGACACACGTCAGCAGCGTCTTACGTCAGCGGCGGCACTGAACGCGGATCCACAACAGAACCAGAATACACACACACACACACACACACACACACCAGACACACGTCAGCAGCGTCTTACGTCAGCGGCGGCACTGAACGCGGATCCACAACAGAACCAGAATACACACACACACACACACACACACCAGACACACGTCAGCAGCGTTTTACGTCAGCAGCGGCACTGAACGCGGATCCACAACAGAACCGGAATACACACACACACACACACACACACACCAGACACACGTCAGCAGCGTCTTACGTCAGCGGCGGCACTGAACGCGGATCCACAACAGAACCAGAATACACACACACACACACCAGACACACACACACACACCAGACACACGTCAGCAGCGGCACTGAACGCGGATCCACAACAGAACCAGAATACACACATACACACACACACCAGACACACGTCAGCAGCGTCTTACGTCAGCGGCGGCACTGAACGCGGATCCACAACAGAACCGGAATACACACACACACACACACACACACCAGACACACGTCAGCAGCGTCTTACGTCAGCAGCGGCACTGAACGCGGATCCACAACAGAACCGGAATACACACACACACACACACACACACCAGACACACGTCAGCAGCGTCTTACGTCAGCGGCGGCACTGAACGCGGATCCACAACAGAACCAGAATACACACACACACACACCAGACACACGTCAGCAGCGGCACTGAACGCGGATCCACAACAGAACCGGAATACACACACACACACACACCAGACACACGTCAGCAGCGTCTTACGTCAGCAGCGGCACTGAACGCGGATCCACAACAGAACCAGAATACACACACACACACACCAGACACACACACACACACCAGACACACGTCAGCAGCGGCACTGAACGCGGATCCACAACAGAACCAGAATACACACACACACACACACCAGACACACGTCAGCAGCGTCTTACGTCAGCAGCGTCACTGAACGCGGATCCACAACAGAACCAGAATACACACACACACCAGACACACGTCAGCAGCGGCACTGAACGCGGATCCACAACAGAACCAGAATACACACACACACACACCAGACACACGTCAGCAGCGGCACTGAACGCGGATCCACAACAGAACCAGAATACACACACACACACACCAGACACACGTCAGCAGCGTCTTACGTCAGCGGCGGCACTGAACGCGGATCCACAACAGAACCAGAATACACACACACACACACCAGACACACACACACACACCAGACACACGTCAGCAGCGGCACTGAACGCGGATCCACAACAGAACCAGAATACACACACACACACACACACACACCAGACACACGTCAGCAGCGTCTTACGTCAGCAGCGTCACTGAACGCGGATCCACAACAGAACCAGAATACACACACGCACACACCAGACACACGTCAGCAGCGTCTTACGTCAGCGGCGGCACTGAACGCGGATCCACAACAGAACCAGAATACACACACACACACACACACACACCAGACACACGTCAGCAGCGTCTTACGTCAGCGGCGGCACTGAACGCGGATCCACAACAGAACCAGAATACACACACACACACACACACCAGACACACGTCAGCAGCGTCTTACGTCAGCGGCGGCACTGAACGCGGATCCACAACAGAACCGGAACACAATACAATGCTGAATAAAGTCGTAGTTTTTGTTATTTTTGGACCAAAATGTATTTTCGATGCTTCAACACATTCTAACTAACCCACTGATGTCACATGGACTACTTTGATGATGTCTTTATTTCCTTTCTGGACAAGGACAGTATACCATACATACATTTTCAATGAAAGCTCTCGGACTAAATCTAAAATATCTAAAACTGTGTTCCGAAGATGAACGGAGGTCTCACGGGCTTGGAATGGGTGAGTCATTAATGACATAATTTTCATTTTTGGGTGAACTAACCCTTTAATAAGAGTGATAATAGTGAATCTTGCAAACTCTTTGTCAGTTATTGTAACGCAGCACTGGAGGATTCCTGGTCCCTCTCTGCCCTTTTGAGAAGCTCTTGTCATGTTTGTGTGACAGAGCGTGAGCAATCCATGAGCAACTGGCAATCTGATCAGAAGTGGTGAAATGACAGTGTGTGACATTTCAGTCACATAGGGAGAGATGATCTGAGTGTGTGTGTGTGTGTGTGTGTGAGATGGAGAGCAGAGGTCACACGGTGGCGCTGATCTTTCTGCATGACTGCTCCTCTCCTCTGGTCTCCATCTATCGTGTGCCCCACATCCCTCTCCTCACAAAAACATCCAATAGAAGAGAAATCTTCCTTCCTCATGTGCGAGATAAAAGACAGACTGTAATCTGTGTTTACAGATTAATCCGTTGATGCGTTAAATCAGGGTTCAAAACCAACGTGCCAATGGCTGGTGACTTGAGAAAACTTACTGGCCAAAATAGTTTCAGTTTTTAAATGATGTAATAGTCTATAATTAATTAATAAATGTACTATTATTCAATTATGTACACAAAACTACACAAATCAATAAAGATATATTACTACTACTATAATTCTATCAAGTAAACAATCAATGCAACAGTAAATTGAGTATTTATAATTAATAATAATATTGTTTATTTATTTATTATTATTATTTATTTATTTATATTTAAACTACACAAATCAATAAATAAATATTACTACTGCAATAATACTATCAAGCAAACAATCAATGCAACAATAAATTGAGTATTTATTATTATTTATAATAATATTTGTATTTAATATTTTATGTGTATTAATTATTTTTAAATTACTCAAATCACGGAATAATAAACTGATTATTTAATGATAATAATAATAATAATAATGTTATTTTATAGAACAATAGTAAATTAAAATACTAATATTTATTGACATCTCAACTTATTTGCTTTCAAATGCTAAACCACAGAGGTTTTATTTTGTCCGAACGGTTACCGACCGACACGGTTTCATACACTCGCATTTGCTACTTGGTGACTGATAATTTTGGACCCTGCTTGTAGAGTAGAAAACCACATTGTCAAAAGTATGAAAATGCACTGTTGTGGAACAGAGCCCATTGCTACATCATCTTACCAGCGAAGGCTTTGGAGATGTTCTCCTTCTTCCACTCCCAGGGCTGGTCGTACTCATCGGCGGGCCTCTCGTCGTCCTGGGGCAGATGGCTCTCTCTGTCGTCCTCTGCGGGGGCCTCCCGGGGCCCAAACCTCTCCTCATACGGACTGTCGTAGAGCTGCGGGCTGCTCCTGCCCCCATCTGAGCTGTGCTGGAGCTCTGAACAACATCAAACACAGTCATTAGCACCAGATGACACGACGATATGGCGTTGTTTATTATGAGAGTGTATGAGGACTGGAATTGTCAAGCTTTGAAGAACATGCAAAAAGGCCCCATACCACAAATTAAACAGACTAGAATATCAATGGCTGAATAAAAGCATTTTTTCACATCTCTTAAATGCTGAGAGATCCAGCAGGGAACTACTGTACCGCTTATGAAGCGCTGGGCCTCAAACGGCTCCATGTAACTGCTGGAGGCCTCTACAGCGTTCTGCTCCCAGCCGGGTCTGGGCCGCGGGTCTGGCCTTGCGTCAAACGGGTCCGAGTAATCCGTCTCCCCGACCACAGGAGCTGAGGGAACCACCTGGGGAAAAGAACAAGGAACGAGGGTTGAGTGATGTCCGAGTGAAGGAGAATCAGAAACGAGGACAACTGGAGTGCTTTACGCAATCATAAAGATTTTTTTAATCAAGCGTTTTCATCCAACAGGGTTATTAGTTAACTAAACCAAAAACCATTTTCGTTACTTAAGTGAAATAAATTAAAGAAAACTTTAGTTGCCAAAGGAACATTTCTGATTTTAATTTACTTGATGTACTAAAATAATTAAAATTGAAATAAAAATAATTAAAAAAACACATAAAAAAACAATAAATAACTAATAAAAATTCAAATAATAATTAAAAAAACTCCCCAAAATCAATTCAAAATACTAAAATAACACTGTGTTTTTATACCTTTCAAGGTATTTTAGAGCAAAAATATTAGGGCTCGGTAAAAAATATCGATTTCTCGATATTAATCGATTCTCATTTTTACGATTTTTCGATTCTTAAATCTCAAGAATCGATTAGTCATCCTGTTTTCATTTGATGAATGAATGGGACATTGTAGCGCGCATCCCATCCAATAAATCGCAATAATCTTTGTGCTTTGTTACTATTGATACTAAATAAAGTCTCAAATTACGTCCATTTTCTTACGAAATTCAAAAACATAAATACCGTTTTGGCGCTGTGGCGTGAGATCGCTCTGGCTCAGCTCAAGAGAAGCAGCAGCGCGAGCGCACATGATCTCCTCTTCCGCCTTAATAATACCAGTTACAGCGCGAAATAAACATGAATGAACGTCTGAAAGTGTGTTAAAAGATAGAGTACAACTTATCGAAATCCGTATCATGGTCACATGGAATCGCTCAATCAGTGTTTCAACCGTGGAAAGACGTCAGTAAAACAACTTGTAAACAATGTCATGTAACGTCACATGACCATAAACTCGTTAGTCAGCTAGAAAAATTTACTCTAAAGAGGAGCATTTTGCTAAATATATGCACCACATTACATATTCATTATAATTTTTAATGTTCTTTGATATTTAATGCATGTTTGAATAAATCTGGCAAGTTTTTATGACAGCCACAATTTAAATGTTTATATTTCATATAACTTTATTATTATAAAAATAAATAAAAGTGTAATTTAAGTGTTTTTATAGCTACAAATCGGAATCGAATCGAATTGCAAGCTTGTGAATCGAAATCGAATTGTTAAATTTGTGTCAATCAATACCCAGCGCTAAAAAATATACATCAAATATCATCAAAAGCCTAAATAATATCAAGAAATTGTGTTTTGACCTACATCGGCCAGCCCGTCCCATTCTGAATATGGAGATACATAGTCTCAAAACTAAGGCATTTGCAAAATATAATTCACAAATACATACATTTATTGTTTTACAAAATAAGATTGGCAAAGGAGGAAACCGTTTAGCAGGATGTTCATGATGCTCTTTTCCATAAAATGAAAGTGGATGCGGACTGGAGCTCTCAGACTCCAAAAGTTGCCATAAAAGCAGTCCATTCGACTTGTTTCTACACTGCCCAGCTAAAACAACGTCGCTGTTTGGATTTAAACAGGCAAATACTTAGTCTATGATTGGATCATTATTGCAGTGATTATTATGTTTCTAGTATGTTATATGTTTGGCAACGGTTCTTCTAAACCTAATGTTGATGGAGTGTGTAGCTTTTCATTTCTTAAACACCCATGTATGAAGACGCATCATGGTCATATTCCAGGATGACAATGCCAAGATTCATCAGGATCAAACCGTGAAAGAATGGTTTTGAGGATCATGAAGAATCATTTTCACACATGAATTGGCTCCTCTCAAGAGGGATGTGCTGGAGGAGACTTTACACACACCTGGACTCTTCCATTGCCAAAACAACATCTTGACCAAATATTGATGCACCTCTTGATGGGAAATACATGTAGTGATGTTATTTCCATCAAGAGGTGCATACATTTTTGATCAAGATCTTGTAAAGGCTCCTCCAGCACATCTTACCCTCCGCATATCTTCAGGCAAGATGTTTGATGTGCACATGCCTGAATGAAGTTTGAGAGCTATGCCAGAGATTATTAGTCTCTCAAATAAAGTTATCACATGACTTCATTGTTAACTAAATCTTTTAGGGTGTGTTCACACTGGGTTCGATTAAAACAAACTCTGGATGCGATTGCTCTGTTAGATAGATTGGTTCATTTGAATAAACATTACCATCTGAACCCTGGTGCACACCAAACAAGCGGACCGTGAGCGAATGCGACACGGACCAAAGACATGTAAACGAACCAAAAACAGGACATGTTTCATAAGATGACAGAGTGCTTATGCTTAAACCTGTTTTTTCTCGTCATAATCGTGATGTTGCCCATCACAGCTCAGTTCAGGCATCAGAACCTGCTGCAGAACTCGCGCTCCTCGCTGCAGATTCTGGTTTGTGTGACGGAGGGATTCCTGACGCTGTTTTGACCTCTTTACACATTTTATAAGCTCTTCACGAGTTCTCAGCTTCATCAGATGTAGCTACACTAGAGGTCTGCTACCCGACCCGAGCCCGACGGGTCCCGAAAAATGTGCGGGTTTCGGGTCGGGTTCGGGTTAATGTTTAATGAACAGCCTCGGGTTCGGGTTTAACTAAGAAAAACTAAATAGGCTATATATAGTTTGCGTGCCGTGTGCTTTGCCTGCTTGCTGTGTTGTGGTGACCGGCACGCGAGAGAGAGAAAGTACATACGTGCGCAGATGTGCAATATGTGCATACACACAGACACACAGGCTCTCTCTCTCAAATATAATGATAATGATAAGTTTTGTTTTATTTTATCATATGATTTGCGCATGAGCGCATGTACCGCTCTCGCGCACTATTTCAGTCACAATACAGACAGACAGCAGACGTGAAAAAATGGTATTTGCTGTGAGAAACAGAATGGACCTCGGGTTCGGGTCGGGTTCGGGCTTAATATGTAAATGTAATTGTCGGGTCGGGTCGGGTTAAATGATCGCGGGTACGGGCCGGGTTCGGGCTTCAGTTTAAAGCCCGTGCAGACCTCTAAGCTACACACACACAGCAAGCGCATTTAGCCCAAAACACAGCATTGTTTTGGATGTTTGACAAGTTCCGTCGCAAAATATCATAAATATCTTTTTTTTAATCTTTAGGTTCTGTCTTAAAAATTACAGTGTGAATACTAAGCGAATCAGGACTAAATTTATCATTTAATTTATTTTTTGGTCCGGACTAAATGGACAAAGAAAACAGAAATACAAGTGTGAACACAACCTTAAAAATTATTTGAAGTAGTTAAAAGAAAATTTTAATATTAGATGAAAAATTTAAAGAAAACAATTAAAAAGTTAACAGATTTTTTTTAATTGATTAAAATGACAAAAGCAAATAACAAAACAACTAACAATTAAACAAATTAAAACCTGACAAAATAGAACAATAAAAGCCATTTAAAATGTATTAATTTTAATAAACAATGTAATAGAATATAAATAATAGTTAAAATGACCTGAAATACAGCGCACGAGCCAAGAGGACTTCTTTTATAGTGCTTTTTGTCCTTTCTAATGATTGACAGTCACCGATCATATTATGCTTATATTGTACAGAAAAGATCATTTTGCTCTTTTGTTTCCCTAAAGAAAAACCAGACGAATGAAACAAGAATCCTACAGATTTAGTGTGATCTTTAAAAGGGAGAAAGAATGGTGGTGTGTGATAGTCTATAACCCGCAGGCATTGGGATTAAATGTATTTGGGTTAATGAAATGGATTCCCTATTCCCCCACCTTTCATTTCCGACAAGACAATCGTCACCCGGACAAGCTCTGGAAACACGGCAGAATCGTGCGTCTGGGTTTGGTTTGTTATGACATCCGCAAAACTCGTTCACACGTGCACCAATCAAATCTTCTCTAAAAGAATCACACATCAATGTAAACAATCTCTGCCACGGACATAATAACCACCTGATCTGTGATATATCAATCTATTCATGAGACAGAAGTTGACTGGAGGGTCTTTATGCCAAGAGAACAGACCATATAAAACCACCAATAAAACACTTTCACATAAACAAACTAAAGTTTACTTGACATTATGATGATATTCAAGTACACATTAGAAGGATGAAGTGCTTAAAAAACACAATTATCCATTAAAAACATAGCATAGGCCTACTACTAAACAACATTTTGATACTTTCTGAAGAGGTGTTTGTCTAATCCCAAACATTTTTCCAAATATCAACCCAGAACATCTTTCAAAACACTCCATTCTTTCTGATAACAGTCCAGTAAGACCAATTTAAGCTCTCTGTATGTTAAGAAAACAAGAACTTACAGGGGCCTGCGGTTCCTCAAAGGTCACGATGTTCAGCGGTACTTTGCTACGCCCGAATTCCTGAGATTCCACTTTTATCAGTCTGTGTTTGGGAGACACAATCTTCACCTCCAAGCCATTGGACAGCACTGTGCCAAATGCGGGAAACACTTCCAAAGACCCCGAGCCGTTCACCACGCGGTTCTCGGGGGGTTCGTAGGGGTCCTCAAAGTCCAGCTCTTTCTGAGCCCTGTAGGCCCGTAGGATCTCGCTTTCGGTGTAGTCTGGTTTCGGGGGCTGCGGCGGTCCTTTCCTGCTGCCAAAACTCAGGTGATCTCTAAACCACTTTGCCATGGGTCTACGACCAACGCGAGAAGGAAACAGATCCAAATATATATAAATGAGCTGTTATGCCTCTTAAAAATCCCTTTATCCTAGTTCTTCCATGGAACACCATCCATAAATCTTGAAACACCTAACCAATAAGTTACTTATTACTCACAGTGTGTCAATAAACGGCACATAGGATATGATATTGTGCAATAGCTCACCTCAGTTTCCCCAATGCATCGACCCTTTAGAACATCCAACTTCTATTTGGTAGCAATAAATTGATCTGGAAAGTAGAAGCAGAGTCATATTAATAAAGAGAGAAACGAAAAAAGTTGTGACGTAGCCTAAAAAGATGTGGATTATTTTAAGCCTCCACCACTAGACCTGCCCCAGTTGAAGACATAGCTATTAAAGGGATAGTTCACGCAAAAATGTACATTATGTCATCATTTACACACCCTCAAGTTGTTCTTTCAAGGAAAAAAACTAAAAAATAAGGTCTGTAGGAGTTGACAAATTGGCCGCTAAGCACTAACTAAACCTAACTTGCTCTAATAAGGACTTTGGACAAACTAAGTAAATTATTAGTGAGTACATTATGGGATGATTTTAATTTTTGGGTGAACTAACCCTTTTCCATGGAAGAAAGAAAACAATACGATTACACATTAGCATAATTAAAAGGTTTGGCTGAGCGGTTCCTTTAAAAATACACATCATACTGTGGAACAGGCGATAAGCCTGTATAACCTGATCTACTGTAGATCAGGTTATACGCTAATGCATTTGTACTTGGGTCATAGATTAAACATAACGGCGATGATTTCTTATTTAAATGAAAACATATAATTAAGTATTACTCAAAGAGAAAGTTTCACACTCCCACAACTCAAAGAATCCTGTCAAAACAAAAACATGCACCAACTGTACACACCCACTTTAATACTGTTCCCATTTAACTTAACACCTAACAGGGAGATATTAACGTATTTTAGACTGAAATTATACAAAAACTGTCAATATAGATTACAACTAATGTTAGCATGCTGGCTAACATCTCTAAACTTCGCCAGACGACATTATTTTCACTTTCTTTGTCGACAAGTGTGATTATATACACGGATACTAGAGTATATTGAATATAGAGGTGGAATTCTGCATTCATTTGGAACTCAAAATTAAAAAGCAACAAATTTAAGCTGCATTTTGTTAGCCGGCTTGCTTGCTGGCTAACTATGCAGCGCGCGAGCCCGATGGATAGTCACTGAGGAGCGTGTGCAAATTGTTCATCTAAAACGGCAGTTTTAGTAAAAACAGTTCCGAAACAAACAAACCCCCAAAGCATTTGCAGAACACTCACCTCTTAATGACGGACGGATGGAAGCGGGTATATAAAGAAGCTGTGAGGAAAATCTCAAAAAGTGGTGAGCGTGTGCACGTGCACATGGATGGATGAGTTGCATCGGATTGCATTGGTTGCAGCTCAGCTGGTGAACAACACATAAGCTCGACTGACTTGTTGTTGAAGCCCACTGGAGAGTTGCATTGTCTTTGTTCTTGCTGAGGCATTTCATATGGTGCCTCGTGCTGTTTTACATGCATTCTGCAAAATGCTGCATGTCTGCAAATCAATTATGAAAGTATGTTTTAGGTGAAATAAAGAGATTGAGTGCAATTAAATGCATATAAACAGGGGCTTCTTCTAGTCAACCACCCACAAAAAGAAACGATCCGATTCAATACACGTCGCCAAACCTCATTAACACCTTATCCGTCAGCAAACAGAGGTCAGATTGTAAGGTTAGAAGGTCACCAGGTGGATCAATATGACAGATGGTAAACAATGGAGTGTTGACACATTAGACTGCATTTACATACATTAGCACGTGTTACCTTGCAAATGCGCCATTAGCGATTTAAATGCAGAATGTCAAAAATATTTGATACACAAGGTAGAACACGTTACATGTATTTACCATAGTAATAACTAAATGTGGCATTATTACATGTAACTAACCCTAAACCTACCATAATCCCATAGTAAGCACATAATCAATCAGGTCCCATTTGTTAGCGTTAGTTAATGCATTAACCAATAATGAAAAATACATGTTACAGATTCTTTGTGAACGTAAGTTAATAAAAATACAAGTATTAACAGATACAACTTTTGATTTCAATAATGTATTCGAAAATCAAATGTATAATAATATTTCAAATTATTTTATTTTTTTGTGAAAAATGTGAAAATAAAACAAATGGAAAAAAATAGTCTAAGCTTGGAAACGAAACACAAGGAACATTTTATTAGTTTGATGTTTGGGAAGAAGAAAGTCTATTGGAGATGATCAGCCTAAATTAGATTTAGATTCACTTATCTCCACTTTAACCCTCAAATGCATTTCCTCGTATTGACTGAACTAACATGGAGAAACGAATACTACATTATAGTGCATAATACATTAGAAACACATTACAGAGTACATTAGAGACACTGGGATGACGCAGATCTAATAGCAAATAAATGTCAGGCAATGGAAACAGCTTCTTATAGACAAGACAGTGCTTCTCCAGCTAAAAAGATCACTGAAAAATAAAAATCTCTCAATTATACTTTTAAAGAGCCCAAGTAAAGGAACATTATAATGGTCTGTGAAAATTGAGGTGGTCATTCATTTTTGCTGGTCTGAAAATAAACATTTAAAAACAGCACACAGTGTTTTCTCAGCCTAGTCAGAGTTGGTGTCATCGCTGTCTGTGTACGCCCCCAAGAGGCTGAGCGATGAACCGCTCTGAGACGAGACTGGCTGCCCGTTGGAAGCACTAGCTGAGGCTATGGAGGACGCGGGTTTGGCAGCACCGGCCCCTGAATGATCCGGAAACACAGAGAAGAAGCAGGTTAACAGATGTGAAGGAATGAGGGAGTTTGATAGGTAAATTCAACATCAAGCTTTCACTCACAGGCAAGGCAAGTTTATTTATATAGCACATTTCATACACTCTGGCAATTCAAAGTGCTTTATAGAAAAGGCTAAAAAAAAAAAATCACAAAATAAAAGCAAGGAAAATTAAAATAGATATAGATGTATATATATATAAAAGAGATATATGATACAGTTATAAAATTAATTAAAAGAGTAAAAAGATGATAGATATGCTTTTCATCTGGCAAAACACCGGTGTCTCATATTTTTCACAACTCCCAGTTTTACTCTGAGATTTTCCCATGGTGATTACACATTAGGGTTTGTTGGTGGAAACTGTAGTTGGTCAGGCATAATTTATTCAAGCCCCCTTATTTTATTAAATGGTCAATTTTGTCCACACCCATTTATAAAATAAAATAAAAAACAGCTTCGCAATCCACATCTGTACCATTCCTTGATTCCAGAGAAATAATAAAACAAAAACATAATACAAATACTCTACGAATCCTGATATACATCCACTGATGTAGAATTGCAATTTTGGTTTAATAAAAAAAATAAACAACAAATATCAATTTATTTATTAAATAATATTAATAAAACAAGTCGTCAAGAAAATAACCATTAATTAGCAATTTTAGTGTTTTAAATATTATTATTATTATTATTAGTAGTAGTAGTAATATTAATATTAATATATACACTACCGTTCAAAAGTTTTGGTCAGTAAATTAGTTTTTAGAAAGAATAATACTTTTATTAAGCAAGGATGCATTAAACAAACAAAAACTTTCAAATAAATGCTGTTCTTTTGAACTTTCTATTTATCAATGAATCAACAACATTGATAATAATGATTAATGTTTCTTAAATAAGTAAAGTAAATCAGCATGTTAGAATGATTTCTGAAGGATCATGTGACACTGACTGGAGTAATGATGCTGAAAATTCAGCTTTGATCACATGAATAAATTACATTTGAAAATATTCAAATAACAATTATTTAAAATTTATTTTAAACTGACCTCAAAATGTGCTATTGTGATAGTTTAAATGACTGAATGAATGCATTATTTCTTTCATAATTGCTGCTTACACCCCCCCCCCCCCCCCCCCCACACACACTTGTTCTGACCAGACTGTCCCTCACACTTTTAAAGTAATCACAAATTGACTAGTTTTAATAGATCATGAACCTTTCTGTGTGTCAGGAGCCTGTGGTTTCTTCCTCACCACCAGAGACCCCAGAGCTCCCTTCCCGCCCAGACCCCCGACACTCCTCTCCCAGCTCTCCAGCTTCTGCTTCTTCACAACCACAGACGATGAGCCCTGTGGAGATCAGGAGGAAAAACAGCACACAAATTAATGAGAAGCATATGAGGCGTTAAAATAGAAAGACCAACAAAAAAAAGACGGCAAGACAAATTAAGTGGGAAATGTACTTTAGGACCACAGATCATCCTATATGAACATATAAAGTATAATGTATAGTTAAACAATCTGACAGTGAATTTTCCTGCTTATTACATGGTTACTTGGCAAATAAATAAATGAATATTAAATATTGATATGAGCTGAAATTATTATGTGAAAAGAAAGAGTGTGGAGTGATAGAAGAACCATGAAACTAACAGCTACATTACCGGTCAAAAGTTTGGAATAATTATATATTTTTTTATGTTTTTGAAAGAAGTCTCTTCTGCTCACCAAGGCTGCATTTATTTGATCAACAATGCAGTAAAAACAGCAATATTGTGAAATATTATTACAATTTAAAATATCTTTTTTATTAGAATTTATTTTATAATGTAAATTATTCCTGTGATCAAAGCTGAATTTTCAGAATCATTACTCCAGTCTTCAGTGTCACAGGATCCTGTGTTAGAATCATTGTAATCATTCTAATTATTATAAATTATGTCGTTTTGTGGAACCAAAATACACTACCATTCAAAAGTCTGGGGTAAGGTTTAATAAAAAATAAATAAATAAAAGAGCAGACGAATAGTTTTATTCAGCAAAGACACTGACCAAAGGTAAAAAATAAAAAAAGTTACCAAAGATTTCCATTTCAAATAAGTGCTGCTCAAAGAATGTATTGTTTCCACAAAAATATGAAGCAGCATAACGGTTTTCAACATGGATAATAATAATAATTTTTTCTTGAGCAGCAAATCAGGATATAAGAATGATTTCTGAAGGATC